AATTTATGATTATCTTATTGATTAGTTATATTTTTATTGCAAATGCTGGTGGAACATGATGCACAATTACCAAAAATGTAAGTGGTCTAAGGCCTATATAAATAAGTTAATGTTTTCTATCATAAATATATGTATCCAGTTCGATCATCTTAATAGATTAGAGAAAGTTTTGTAGGCTATAAAGAGGCATTTATGTGCGAATAGAATTAAAAAATATATTTTTCACCAGTGAAACATACATTTTTCAGCTGCAGAAAGAAAGCAAATAGTTTTTTGTAGACTTTATTTTGTAAAAGTTATAATATATATAAAAAAATATAGTGTAGTTTATAAACGGGTAATTTTGTTATTTCTCATCAAATTCATATTCTAGTTCAAGCATTTTTAAATTATCTTTTTTTGTGAATGCGCAACTTGATCGCATTAAAAGTTTTCTATGCACACTTAATGGCGTTTTACATTCATTTGATTTCAAGGATCTTGGCAAAGTTGTTTCAAACAAAGCTCGTTTGTGCAATTTTCGAAAGGTTTTTTTCGTTCCAGCATCCACGTAATTCAAGCTTTATTTATCGTAAATAATCTCAGGAGGAATTCCAGCAGCTTCAGGCCACCTTTGAAGATCTCAAGGAAATTTTGAAAAGAATCCCTAATTTATAAGGCAATAATGTTCAGGAGGTGCCAAAGCTAGTTGATTTCTGGAAGAAGTTAACCGTTTTGCATCATGAAATTATCGAAACTATGCGGGAAATTTCTCGGACAAATAAAATAGCCATTGTGGAGTTTTTAAAGTCTGCTTCTCAAGAGTTTGCTCAGGCTTATGAATAGGCTAACTTTTATACGTTGCTGTTGGTTTAGGAATTTTTGCTAATTTGTAAAAAAAACGTCACAAAACTGAAATGTAAAACAGTGGTAGAATTTCTTTTAATTTATGATTATCTTATTGATTAGTTATATTTCTTAGGATTTTGCTCAGGCTTATAAATAGGCTAATTTTTATACGTTGCTGTTGGTTTAGGAATTTTTGCTAATTTCTAAAAAAACGTCACAAAACTGAAATGTAAAACAGTGGTGGAATCTTTTTAAATTTATGATTATTTTATTGATTAGTTATATTTTTATTGCAAATGCTGGTGGATCATGATGCACAATTAACAAAAATGCAAGTGGTCTAAGGCCTATATAAATAAGTTAATGTTTTCTATCATAATTATATGTATCCAGTTCGATCATCTTAATAGATTAGAGAAAATTTTGTAGGCCATAAAGAGGCATTTAGATGCGAATAGAATTAAAAAATTTATTTCTCACCCGTGAAACATGAATTTTTCACCTGTAGAAAGAAAGAAAATACTTTTTTGTAGACTTTATTTTGTAAAAATTATAAT